CAACTTCTCTCTCTCTCTCTCTCTCTCTCTCTCTCTCTCTATTGATTATAGACATTAGTTGAATCTTGTAAACCAAAGGGTGTGATGGGGGCTTAAATGAAGCCACTCAAATAGGAGTGCATTGTTTATGGGTTTGCTTACACAAAAATCCAATATAAAGGGTTCATATCGCCATTTCTGAGTTACAACTATGCATGCAACTATGTACTTGCTTTTCTATTGCATGCCGTCTGTTATTAGCCTTGCAATCCTTGTTCAGATTATGGAAACCTTTTTATTACAAGAATGAAATGTCGATTTATAATGTGACTGTTATTTTGATTCTGTAGAAATTTTGAATCAGAAATTCTGATTGATGTCTCCAGGTTTCGATCTCCCCAGGTGGTTTGCCTTCTGCAATGGATGCCACAATCGAGTCTTTGAGTGTTGTTTCTGCACTCATGTATGTCCCACATAAGGCCATCAAGGGCCAGGCCTTGGCTGACTTTCGCACAGCACACCCCGTACTGGCAGAATTTCCTTTATCAAGCGACCTCCCTGATGAAGAAGTATTATGTGCTGGCCTTGTTCATAGATGGGAATTATACTTCAACCAAGCTTTCCAATCAGATCGAGGAGGCGCCGGAGTAGTATTCCTAACTTTGAAAGGAGGAGTATTGTCACTTTCTTTCTCTCTCGCTCAAGCTAGTTCTCATAATGAGGCAGAATATCAGGCCCTTCTAATTGGACTCGGGATAGCCTTCGATCTTGACTTGGAGTAGCTTAAGATCTATGACAGCTTTGAGTTGGTTATCCGACAGCTCAAATGGATCTATGATGTGAGAAAAGATACCCTCAAGCCTTATCACGATACTGTAAAATTGTATATACCCAGTTTGAAGACGTATCCATGAGTCACATCCCCAGGAGGCTAAATTCGCAGGCCGATGCACTTGCAAAGCTCGGCGCTACGATTCAGTTGTTCTCATCAGGACCCATACTTGTTTGGGTGGCAGAATGGAGACACATCGAACTAAGAACCGAGGATGACAAGAGAAATATCTTCTCCGAGTGTACCCCTTCTCCATTTGGAACACTTCTATCGGGCAAAGAAGTAATCAAAATTGAACAAGCAATAGCACATAGTTAAGGAGCTAAGGGTTAAAATCAGGGACTAGAATTCTTTGACCGAATGGGCGCAGAAATTGAACAGGTAGAAGATTGGAGGGGGGCCATCACTAGTTTCCTAAAACATTGTAGGCTCCCGAAAGATCGTGTTGAATGCAATAGCATATGTCAAATGTCCACCAAGTATACCCTCCTCGAAGGAGATGCTCTCTTCGGACGGACATTTGACGACATTCTTCTTAGATGCATCGATATCCAAGGAGCAAGTAAGATGTTAGAAGAAGTCCACTAAGGCATCTGTAGACTACACCAGTCCAGTGCCAAGCTCTATGAACAAATACGTAGGATGGGTTACTATTGGCCTTCCATGGTAGCCGATTCTTTAAGCTATGCTAAAAAGTGCCAAGTATGCCAAATACATTCCAGCCTGGTTCACCAGCTTCTAAAGCCCTTACACCCTACGGTTGCGTCATGGCCCTTCTCACAATCGGGTATGGGCATTGTAGGGCCTATTGACTCTCCTTCTGCAATGGGCCATAATTTATCCTAATCGCAACAGATTACTTCTCTAAGTGAGCTGAAGCAATTCCCCTTGAGCAGGTTCCGGGGACAGCGGTGGCCTACTTTGTTCGACATCATATCATATATATCTTCGAGGTGCCCGACCAGATTATATTTGATAATGGTCCTCAATTTACCAGCCATCACATCGATCACTTAGTTAACTAATTCGGTTTCGAATGGAGTTAGTCGACTATGTACCACCCTCAGGTGAATAGATTAGCTGAGGCTTTCAAATAAGACTCTGTGTAACATTTTAAGAAAGTCAATATAAAAAACAAAGAACAACTGGCATGAGAAGCTTCCTGAAGCCCTATGGGCCTCTCGTACTACTACCCAGAAATCTACTGATTCCACTCCTTATTCTTTGGTCTATGGGTGTAAAGCAGTTTTACCTCTTGATATACAAATCCCTTCACTGCGAGTCGCTATTCACCAAGCAATAACCGAAGATGAGAGAGTCAAGTTTATGTATCAAGAATTGGATGCACTCGATGGAATGAAGCTAGAGGCTCAGCAGAACCTCGAACTCAACCAAGGGAGAATAAAGAGGGCTTTTGACATGTCTATCAAGATCCGCTCATTCACCAGTGGTGATCTAGTCGTAGCTATCAAGAGGCCTATTGTTATGCATGGCCGGTGTAAAGGGAAGTTTCAGCCTAAGTGGGAAGTTCCCTTTATAGTCAAAAAAGTCTCGCGCAATGTAGCCTACATAATGGCACATCCTGATGGGGACGAGGCAATGTCCCTATCAACGAGCGATACCTAAAGAAGTAATATTCATGATGTGTATTCAAAGGAAAAAGCACCAACGCAAAAATAAACAAGATAGTCCAAACAAAAATGCTTACTCTTTTTATGGCAGTAAAAAAAAAAAGAGTTACAAGTTACAAGAACCCATTACTAAGGAGGTTACAAGTCTCTTGCGTCTGAAGATAAGAGGACGGTTACAAACCAAAACTTGTGATGTTGCTCTTACATCTGAAAGTAAGAGGATGGTTACAGGCCAAAACAAATGTCTGTCCCATGAGGAAGAAGCAAACCCATAGAAGCAAGGACCTCCTCATGAAGAAGAAGCGAACCACTTGGAGAGTTAGCTTTAATTCATATGACGAGTAAGAGGATGGTTACAAGCTAGAAGACAAAGCAGAGCCACTCTAAGGAGATCGCCTCAATCCTTCTGACGTGTATGTCGAACATACAGGCCAGATACCTCATCAAACGCGTATATCAAACATACGACATAGGATTCATTCGACGTGTATATCAAACATACAAGATGGGCTCCTCGAGCAAGGAGCTGGCCTACGATGGAAAGAACACCCTATTCACAGTGGAGGCCCTTCCACAAAAAAACATGGAAACTAGTGTCGTACTGCTGGATTTGGTTTCCAACAGGTACTGCAGCCCACGCCACATCCTTGATCACTCTTTGTCGGCCCATGAGCATCGCCGCGTGTAGCTCATCATCGAACGCCGCAAAGCCCTCATATGACTTACCGACGCATGCTAGCGTCATTCTCTGCATCGTGATAAGCCACACGTGTTGATCAGCGCCGACTAAAGCCAGTACCGGTTGGGTCCTCCAGAGGTCAGCATCGGTTGCGTGCCCAACCCCTAGCGCCGACTGTTTTTCGTGGGGGCTGGCATCGGTTGTATCAGCACTCAAAATCATTAGCGCTGGTTACCTTAGCGCCAGTTGCACTTCTATTATCGTCGACCCTGTCGCGACTTATTGCATCCCAATGATCACACAATTCCAAGGGTGTTGGTTCACCTTCAACAATCGTACGCCTTCCCCATGACGGTTCACCTTCTACAATCATACAGCCCACCTCCTGTGACTGTTCGTTTTTCACCGAAACTTCTACCATAGGGCCGACAACTCACTGGAAAAACTTTCTTACCTACGTCTTTGTGCCTGGACTTTACCAGAACTTCATTGGGAAACTTCTCCAAACTTCCCCTAAGTTCTCGAAAAACCTTTGCAACACCATGAACAGTGTCAGAAAGTTTCCACAACCCCGGGAAACCCCTAAAAAATTCCCAGAAAACTCCCAAAGATGTGGGAAATACTCACTATGGTGTTTCTCGCCTCTTCTATGAGAAACAGTGCACCCAGAACCTCTTATGTTTCCCGAAAAACTTCCAAGAGAACTCGCCTTTCCTCACTGCACTCCCTGTAACTTCACCAAATTCTTTGTAAAGTCTGCTCGCCAAAGGTCTTCTCAGCCAAACCACTGGAATCATGCTGTCCGCCAAAGAACCTTCCCTGCAAAACTTCTGCTGTAGTCTTATTACTCGCCAAAACTTCAACTGACCACCCTCTCCTCATCATTAAAGAAAACGTTTTGCTTAAGTTTTTTTTTTACCCTTGGTGAAAAAAAAAAAATTGAGGGAAGAATAAGGTTTTACCCCCTTATATAGACTACGCTGCCCTCGGATGCCTCTCACAAACTGAGAATTACAGGAGAATTCCAGTCGCGTTTAAAGAAAGCCAAGTGACGGTGAGCTGTGTCGGGCTTTGACTCAAGGCTCGAAGTAACTTTCATCGACCCATCACCTAGCGTCGAGTGAATTTCAAACCACCCTAGCGTCGGTTGACCAACACAAGGTGAATCTCAAACCACCCTAGCTCCGGTTGACCAATGCTAAGTGAATTTCAAACCATCCTAGCACCGATTGAATAACGTCGGGTAAGTTTCGAAACAACCCTAGTGCCGGTTGACTAGCGCTGTGTGAGTTTTAAACCACCTTAGCGTCAGTTGAATTAGCGCCGGTTGGACATTCGTAAGAAACCATGATCGCTACACCTGACACCGACTGAATTACAAGCAGCCCATTGTCACCGACTCCATGCTGGAGCAGTGTATGCCCTACCAATATCCCTAAGAGAGTTTCACCCAAATCGTAACCTCCCCAATGGAGTCAGGAACCGGCCCTCATCCCCCAGTAGGAGTCACACCCATACCACAGCTCATTATCCCAAGTGGAATTGGTGTCATATTTACCCCTACAATCCTCAGTGGGTTAGCTTCACACCAATCTACCTTATTCCCAGGAAGTCGAGATACCTGTTATAAGTGAATTCTCCATAGAGTCCCATCTTTCACCCTAGAGCATATGCTTACCCCCTTTAACTCTAGTGAAGTCTGCCTCTGTTGGTCATCCTTCATCAGGCTGCCATTTACATCTGAGCCCTCTACTTGTATATGGCCTTAACCATTTTATCCCAAGGGAGTAAGATTGCCATCCACAGACTTATTCCCCACGGAGCTACACCTACATGGCGACCCACACAATCCCTAAACTCCAAGGTCCAAACTATATGACCTTAAACTGTAGCGGAGGTCTAGTTATACGATCTTAAACTACACAGTCCTAGTTGTATGACTTTAAACTGCAAGACCGTGGTCCAAACTATATGACCTTAAACTGTAGCTATGGTCTAGATGCACGACCTTAAACTCCATGGTCCAAATATATGACCTTAAACTGTAACTATGGTCTAGTTGCATTACCTTAAACTGCACAGTCCTAGTTGTATGATGTTAAATTGCAGGACCACGGTCCATCTGTATGACCTTAAACCATAGTGCACGTCCTAGTTGCATGACGATAGAGGCTCAACACCGTTGGCCAAACTACATGACCTTAAACTATAGCGGAGGTCTAGTTCCATGACATTAAACTGCAAAGTCCTAGTTGTATGACTTTAAACTGCATAAACCATAGTGCACATCATGCTTGCATGATGATAAACTCCTTTAGAAAGTACGACCATAAACTTATCCCCACGTACGTGCACATACCTTTACGTGCATTCTCATGCATGCCTTCGCTAACCTACCTATTAGTGTGCACGTGCCATCTTCATAACACACCAGTGTGTCCATTCACTTTATCACCATATATCATTCCCTAGTGAGTCTCACCCGCTCTCACAAAAC